CATCCGCGGTCTGACCCATTAAAAACCGTGCAATTCGTTCAGACCAGAATCTCAGGTATGACTTTCGGCCCATTGCACTCAAGGGCTTCTCAGGTCCGCCAATTACCCCACCTTCCCATTCCCATCCGCTAAGCTTGTATGAAACCGCCATCAATAGCTGGCCTAGTTGCCGATGTTGAAAAGGAGGGAAGATCAATATGCATGCGAGGTTATTTGAGTCCCAGGAGAGATTTTCCTTGGAGAAGAAGCCCAGCACGCGGGTACGGTAGAGAGAATCATCTTCCTCTACCGTATTCGCCGACGTACTCCGTTGCTTCTGTGCTCGGGTCTTGGTCGTTGGAGATGCTAGCGACGTGGAAATGTCGGGCTTTGTGTATGTCAAGGCATAGTACTTGAATCCTCCAGTATCAAAGAAGACACTTTTCTGTTCCAAGAACAGCTTGCCGAACAAACTCAAATTCTGACAATAGAGTTTCTCCCTCTCGCCGTCGATTTCCCAGACTGCGTGCCCTTCCCACTCATAGACTTTGAATGCGGATTGCGGCACGGGTTGGTCTGGTTCAAGGTTTTGTGAGCGGAGATGGCGATGGTGAGCAAGGTGTTGTATGAATTGTTGTTTGAGGGAGGTGTAGCGAAAACAGCACGGACAAACATAGAGAAGGCGGCAAATTGGCTCTTCTCCTCTTATCGAACTGTGGTACCCGCTAAGATGGCCATGAGAGTGGCCGTTTCTCGCATCCGCGGCTGTAGAGCCATCTCCTGGTTGTGGAAGGATGATACTGTCGGGATAGGGCGAATAATACCACGCGTCGAACATCAAGTTCCCTAGGACAACCTGATGAATGTTTCGATTCAGGACCTTCAGTGAGGCACGACGGGAGCGGTGAGGGGAGCCTTCTTGGAGGACTGAGGTTGATGTGCCGGGTGTTTTGTCTATTGCGGAGGGCATAATGATTGCATCAGCCCTTCATCTCTAGGTGGGCAAGGCTCAGAGAAGCGGGAAGGCCATCGCCGGAGTCGGAAAAGATGCCAATACTATACTCAAATGATCTGTTGAGCAGGGAAATTGTTGTCTGTCCATGGGTTGAGGGCGTCTGGTATCCATGATGTTGGATCGTCAAGATCATGTTGCAGCCACAGCCTACGAAAGGTACCTCGTACGCCAAGCGCCTTTAAAGCGGCATGTGATTGTGGCTGGTGCAACGTGGCTGCGGCGACTGCGATTCTTCGAGAATCAAATGGATCAAGAGGACAGATTGATGGTAATCCGCGACAATATCGACATCGACATCGACACATTCACTCGTTCTCATCTCTTTGGCCATTTGCGCCTTTCTCTTTGCTCTTTTCCATAGACTTGTTCTCTTGCCCCTTCCCCGTGTACAACACCTGCGTCCACACAGTATGCCATAATGATTTTCCCAATAAAGCGATTTAGCCTGCTCGCTGCCCTGTTGGGGCTCTATCTCGCTTCTCTTGGTGCCGTCGATGCCGTCGACATTCCCTCCGACGCTTCTCTTCCTTCCTTAATTGCGTCCGGGAAGGCTGCACGTGTTCGAGGAGCCAACAGTGAGGCTCTCTCCTATTTCGACGCGGCCGCCTCCAAAGACCCCTCCAATTACCTTACATTCTTCCAGCGAGGAATCACCTATTTGTCTTTGGGGAGGAATGCACAGGCATGCGCAGACTTCGACAAAGTGTTAAAGATAAAGCCTGGGTTTGAAGGGGCGTTATTGCAGAGAGCGAAAATCAGGACGAAGAATGCAGACTGGGCTGCTGCCCGGGAAGATTATATCGCCTTGGGGGAGCGAGCAGTGGCGGACTTGGCCCAGCTTGAAGAGGCAGAGGGTGCTGCCTATCTTGCGGTCGAAGCTGAGAAGAAGCAAGATTGGGACGCATGCATCAATCAAGCAGGTATTGCCATCATGACAGCAGGTACGGCTTTGTCACTGCGACAACTACGTGCGAGATGTCGATTTGAGCGTGGTGAAGTGCAAGAGGGCATTAGCGATCTCCAACATGTCCTCCAGATCCATCCGGGCCTGGTGGAACCACACCTACAAATTTCAGCCATGTTATTCTATAGTTTGGGGGATACAAAACTAGGTATGGACCAGATCAAAAAGTGCTTACATTCTGATCCGGACTCGAAGCCCTGCAAGTCACTTTTCAGGGAGGAGAAGAATATTTTGAAGCAAGTCGACCAGGTTCAGACTCTCTTCGACAAGAGACAATTCAACTCCGGGAGCAAGTTGCTGGTTGGCAAGGGCACCGACGATGAACCCGGGCTTCTCTCGGGACTCAAGTCCAATATCGAGACTCATCGTGCAAAAGGAATTATCCATCCCAAAGCACCTTCAAATCTCTACACGAACATGTTGGAGAAGACCTGCGAAACGTTCATGTCGATGAACAATATGAACAAGGCCGGCAAGTTCTGTTCCGAACTGCTCACCTTGAGTCCCAACTCGCTTCACGCGCTCCTATACCAAGCCCAGAAACAATTCGACGCCGAAAATTTCGACGCTGCAATCTCGACGCTCAACACCGCTCGGGACAAGTACCCTGACGCTCAGGGCACTATCAATTCCAAATTGCACGAGGCGCAGGTCGCGTTGAAGCGGAGTAAAAGCAAGGACTATTACAAGGTCCTAGGTGTCTCTCGTGATGCTGACGAAGCGACCATCAAGAAGGCTTATCGTACCGCGACCAAGACCTATCACCCGGACAAGGCGGCAACGAGAGGGGTGTCCAAAGAGGAAGCGGAGAAGAAGATGACATCGATCAATGAAGCCTACGAAGTCCTCAGTGACCCCGAATTGAAGGCCAAATTCGACAATGGAGAGGACCCCAATGACCCTATGGCCAACCAGGGTGGCCACTCCTTCCAGGGTAGCCCGTTTGGCGCAGGAGGCCAGCAGTTTTTCTTCCAACAGGGGTTCCCTGGCAGTGGTGGACAGAGGCAGTTCAAGTTCTCAACCGGTGGTGGAGGTTTTGCTGGAGGGAATCCCTTTGCAGGATTTCCGGGTTTCGGATAGGGCGGGTGCTATTTGGTCCGGTTTCCTGGCCTTGCATATCATGTTCCTTATCGTTTCACGAATTGATACCCCCATGTTCTTTCAACTTCAAAAAGGTCCCTTGTCTGCTCTTTCAACTTTGACTTTACGCCACCGTTAGTGTGGCAGGATGTGCAAGAAAGACAAAAGTCCAGTCACCATTCCTTTCAAGACCAAGTCAAGTTCGCCTAGTCCTCTACCGAACCAGCTACGTCGCTATCACACCGGTCGAACCTCTTTTCGGACCGACCATTGATGTTCGAAACAAAGCGGTCTCTCACTTCCATGTCAATGAGTATGTGATTCCGTCGGCGCTGGCGATTTCTGAATGGGCAGTTGAACATTAGCTTGTCCAATCCTCGAAGAACACCCTGGTTGTACTTGTTGCCAGGGCAGATTTGCAGTCTCGCATTCTTGCACTGACTATCGCTACCCGAGCTTGACAACACCTCTCTGAAACAGCAGCGGGAAACACGCCGCCTGCAGAAGCCATAAAGCTACTCCAATGCCTTACGCATGCATTGTCTATCAGCCGGGGTTGGATTTGCGCCTAGAGCAGCTCGAGCGCAGTGCCGTTGTACTACTCCGCATTTGACTACTGCTGGCTAGTGGTATGTATACCCTGGTCGCGCCGCCAAGCCTCTCCCTTCCGATCCCGCCTCGCCTCGCCCGCCAATTACTTCAAGGCGCATATGGTCTGAGACTGCGAAGTGTGGTGAAACAGTTGACCTGTGTACCGAGTACATACGGAGTACCTCGTACAGGGAGCTGTTTTCAAGCAACATATGTACCGAGGAGGTCCTCGTACATTCGTCGGCCGGCACAGACCGGCGGCTGCGAAATAGCTGAAGGCCCTGTCAAATCGAGCAACTCCGCAACAGTTTGCACATGCAACGCACAAGGTCGCTGCAATCTGGTGTGGGCAACCAGAGGAGCACGGCCCTGGGACTCGTCACATCGCTAAGTACTTAGTTCATATCTTGTGAAGGAACCTTAGACCACAAAAACTCTGGCTTTTACCTTGGCTTCGAGCTCGTCATCACGTCCGTTGTGCCTGGCGCAACTTTCAACACAAGCTCTGCATAAGCATTATCCGTGATCGACGACGAGGGCAGTTTAGGATCCGACCTACTGAACGCCAGGGAATTGGTGGCTGCTACTCCAGAGACTAATACTGTCTCCGGAAATTCTCCGTGAGGTCCAGCCCAGTCTGGAAGAAAACAAGACCTGGGAACTCACGCCTGTCTGGCGACGACTATGTTTGTGCCGCAGGCTAATCGAGTCACTGGAACTTTGGCGCAGGGCATTGACTCTTGAACGTCGCAGGTACTGCTCCTCTGTCACAACAATGACTCGGTAGACGAGATTTACCTCCCCCCCCCCCCGACATCGGCTGTTGAAGGCCACTGCCCACCAGTCGCGCCAGACTCAACTCCGTACCGAGTAAATATCCTGTGCTGAACCTGGTACAAGAAAGTGAACGAGAACATGGAAGCTGTCAGTGCCGACTTGACTGCGAGACTGAGACATACACCAACGGGGCGCCGACTAGTGCTACGGGATGTCGAGCTTATTGATTCCTTCCTGCTAAACAGAAGTATTTAGCCGCTGGCGCAGGTCCGTAGAGTCAGTCCATAGGCCGATTCCTTGTTGGCCTTTTTAGTCGCACCCATTTCGTCTTGCAGTATGATACACTCTGATGAGATGGTCTGGCTTGTTGACGCTGAGGGATAGATTTGATGGGCATTTGAAGTCTAACATTGTCAAATTGCATGACCTCATTGTGCTCTTTGCGGCTACATAGATGGCAACCAAAACCATTTCGGATACCACACACAGCAAAATCCACAGTCTCATCGCCGTTGGTGGAGGTCGCATATCTGTCATTTAGGAAGAATGAAGACCATAGTTCACACAACATGTGCCACCGTGCCGAACTCTCTGATGCCTCTGGGGAAGGGCGACTCGATGAGGTTCAAACCTTCACCTGATATTCTCAGACCGGCACTGCAGTCTGCGCTGTGTTGCAAAACAATAAAGCACGACAAGGCCAGCCGCACCCCGTCCCCCTTACCGACTCGCCGCCGAAGCCTTCCCACAGCCTTCTCCCATTTCCTGGAACCTCTCGAGCCCCGCCAATGGATCGACCCTTCTCTAGCCATTTGCCCCGGCGACAATCATCTGAAGTCAGTTCCCCTATATCGACGTCAGGGGAATGAAGGTGTCGCCGGTGTCGCAAAATCACAGCAATGCGGTGGGATAAATGGATGTTTTCGATCTTTGGAATTGACATTTCTCATCTGGCTGCCAGTTGCCCGGTTTCCTTTCCGAAATCAAAGACTCACGACGTCGGCGGGCAAGAATGTCCTCGTAATCGGCCCAGGCTTCATAGGCTGGAACGTCCTCAACTACCTGGTCCGAGAAGGCTACGGCGGGACTGGTCTCGTTTGGCGCATGTCGCATGGGCAACAAATTCAATTCTCAGGAGCCAACGCCGTAGTAGGAGATCTGGATGACGCCACCTTCATCAAGACTCGAGCACTCGAGAACGATGTTATCTTCCATACAGCAACTGCGGACCATAAGCCCAGCGCTGAAGCCGTCCGCTAGGGTGTTGCGCAGCGAGCCCGGCAGGGTAAATTGACCATATACTACCATGCGTCCGGCGCCAGTGTTTTGGACGACAATGCGTGCGGCGAGTTCAAGGGCGACAAGATCCACCACGACAACAATCGCTCCGAAATAGATTCTGTGCTTGACGACGCGCCGCATCGACAAATCGGGCTGACTATTCTGCAATATCAGAAAGACATTGGCGACAAGGCAAAGATCACCATCATGATCCCACCCTTGATTTACGGGTACAATCAGCGACAGACGACTGACGATCCAAATTCCGACGCTCACACGCTTCGCAATGAAGCTCGATTTCGCTCGCGGGATACGTAGGCAAGGGATTACCGGTGGAATCACAGATCCACGTGCTTGACCTTGCGCAGGCGTTTGTGACCTGCTGTATCACATGGAAGATGCGCCGCCGCGGGAGTTCATTGACAACCCCTACTTTTCCTGCGAGAGTTGACATGAATCTTCCTGGCACGAAGTCGCAAATATGATCGGCGAGGCCCTCCACAAGGCCAGGAGAATCAAAGATCCCTTGCCAAAGACGATCCAAGAGGACGCGTGGGGCGATCTCTTTGGGGAGTACACCGCCGCGGTTGTAGGCTTGAACAGTCGTAGTAGGGCCATCTGATTGAGGGAGCTCGGATGGGAAGCCGGGTAGAGGAGTATGGTGGACAGCTTCCAGATGTTCGAGTTACCGAAGATGCTGAAGGAGTAAAGGGCAGGTTTCCATGGATGTGCTGGAACGGCCGCGTCATAAGGCAGGCGAGAAGGCGGGAATGATATATCCGGGAGACTTTCAACTGGAGGAGAATTACTCGGCTCCAGGTGGGCAGGTGACAGCAATGTCAGCAGGAATAGATCCGAAAAGATGTTTAGGGTCATGTCCGTAATCGTGTCAGCAAGGTCGTATTTCGATCTTGCCATGTCCGACGAGCTGTTAAACCCAAATCAGATCCAACGGCTGGGATTTCAACGGGCAATATTCCATTCTTTCAACCCTGCAGCTCGTTTTGTAAGCTCCCTCAGGATCCTGATGGGAAGTCGACGATATTCAGACTCTCCAGTTTGGCCTCAAAGCCACGAGGCCAGGGTCTGGACTTTGTCCCCAACTCGATCCAAGGTCTGTCCGGTGACAAAGTGGATGGGCCTGACATCCAAGCAACGTACTCCCGACACAACATGGGTTTCTCTGATCCGAATTCTTCAAAGAATATGAGCTTATCACTTGCCCTCGTCGAACGTAAAGCAAACCAGAAGATCTTGCCTCCACGACACGCATTGCTGTCTTGCGGAGGCATGAAGAGGCCTTGACGGTGCATCACCACTCAGTCGAAAGAACCCCGTTCACGTCTTCCGATTCAATTATACATTTTGGTCTCCTCTCACATTGACCATCTCATAGCTTGGACCCGCATCGTTCCTTATGCCTCTTCCCAGACTGCTTCGTATATGATCGTCAATAACGGCTACCTCTGCCGATCCGTTGGCTGCATTTTGACCAGTTGCTTTCTTGTGTGCCGGAGTTCTGAAAGAGATAGGTTGCATTTCACGATACCGGCAGGCCCAAACACCTAAAGTAATCATCAACGCCGCGCTGCCAGCTTCTAGTCCCCACCATAATAAGTTTGTTGGAATGCCGCCCGTGTAGAAAGAGGTTATGAGGAGGTGAATGAAGTGAATCGTCAAGGCAAAATCCGGGACGAGTTTCGACCGGGAGATCAGAAGAAGGATTGGTATTACTCTGTGGAAAGAGTCCCAGATCAGAATACCGTCTTGTATTGTCGTAGGAAGGGGAGGGGACACACGTTATAAACCCATCAACAACCCATAAGAAGCCGACAGTCCAGCCGACAGTCGTATCCCCGCGCACGCTATTCCAATCAAATATCAAATTCAAAGAGAATCTCTGGCCCAGAACCAAGGTTGTGAACAATATCAGCACAAGGGCCGTCGCGTAGTAGGAGAGCTGCAGGAGGAGGATGGAGCGGATGATCTTCAAAGGCGGAAGTTCGGTGAGGGCTCCTGCGCGGGGAGGCTTGCGCCGTCGAGGCGGCATGAGCAGTCTGTGCTCGCTGTTTTATAAGTAGAGGGATTTTGGGATTTGAGTTGCGAACGCTGATGTTAGCATCGCCATAAGGCTGACGGCTGCTTGCGATATATAGACATGGCAGTTATTGATAGGCGAAAGGTGTTGAAATGGAGTCGGGAGACGAACCAACAGATGACGACTAAACTCCGAGCCTTATCACGTGGAGGGCTGCGGGCACCAGCCTCGCATGGATCTCGGGGTCTGCTATCTCCAAGATGCTGTGGACGAATAAATTGTCCATACCAGTGAGATCTCTTGAGGGACCATTACGCACAACCAGCGAGGACGCCGATTCTACAAAGCGGATATAAGCAGCCATCCCGCGTCTCCTCAACCCCCACCACTATATTTTCACTGTCGCCTCCCCGTTCCCCAGCCTGTTTCGATCTCTGCGAGCCATGGCCTGGGGTCTTCCAACCTGGCTCGGGGGTTCTACCTCTAATCCTTCCTTACCACAATCATCGAACCTACCCTCCCGATCCAAAGACGGTGGCTACGTGGCTCCTGACCGCACGTCTCGCGAACAATGCTACGAGTCCCGCGATATTTTCTTCCAGTGTCTGGATCGGCACGATATATTGGACGCAATCAAGGAAGATGAGAAGGCAAGGAAGGTGTGTCCAGCAGAGGTAGCCGCTTACGAGAAGGATTGTGCAAGAAGTTGGGTGAGTGCAATTGGATCGAGGTCTCCTCCAGTTCCCAGTTTGCAACACTGCATCAAAGCAAGCACATAAAGACTAATAGTGGCTATATTTTACGACTCCAGATCAAATACTTCAAAGAGAAGAGAGTTGTGGACTACAAACGAGATCGCACATTAGAGAAAATGGCAAAAGAAGATGCCGAGGCGGCTGCAAAGGCAAAATCGGAGAGGAAAGGCAAGTCATGGTTCGGGTGAGCGAACAGGTGGATGTCTGGGTTTTCACACAACCCAGATGGGACTGCGATGGCTCGAGAGAATGAGAGTCTTGATCTCGAGAGAAGACAGGCCGTCCTTTCAACTTCGTATAAAGATGAAGAGAAATGTACAGGCAGGCTGCAAATGTACAACAAGACGAAAGCATTGCATAGCGTGGATTCAGGGAATCAAACTGCGGCTCGGTTCGACAGTGGGTAAGGCTTTCTAAATTTACATCTTCACTCGTCTTCAGGAGCACCGAAACCATGCTTTGTGTATAGGGTTCGGTCTTCTACCGCCCCAGCAAACTAACAACACTCCCAACCATCACCGCCGCCTCTCGTTCCCAATTGTCTACTTGTTGCTCGTCCTTCGTAGTCGAAATTGCTTTCAAATCACCCACCAAAACAGCCCTCGGCAACTTTGACCCCCGAAATACACACTCGCGGACCTCCTGCCGGACAGTGTCGCGTTGACTTCGCAACGTGCGTGCGGAAACACCTCCTCTCGTCAGAATCTCCTGAACACGAAGGGAAAGCGAGGACGCCAGTGAGCGCCAGAAGTATGAGGGTAAAGAGGCTGTGTCGAGGGCACTGAGAAGCAAGGAGAGGAAGTTTTCCGGAGGGACGTGTGCAGAGGGCTCTGTAATCTCATCCCCGTCTTCATCTAAGTCTTCTTCGCCGCCGTGATTGATGGCTCTCTTGTCGTCTGGAGCTTCAACCTGCAGTAAAGGATGGTCGGGGGGAGATATGCCACGCAGCAAGACTTCGAGAGCCACAACGCTTTGACACCGTGCGCTTGTCTCCAGCAAAACCCGGTCTAGCGTCGGTAGCTGCCCCAAAGCCCTCCCAATCGATGCAGAACTCGATGTGATAGCCGTCTGTAGATACCCCTGCAATGCACGGAGTAGATATTCGGGTTCAAAGTCCTTCTTTGTCATCTTCTCTCCATCTATCCTTGGTGCTGGGGACAGGAGATAGAGAATATGGACTGCACTCGTAAACCGGGCACGGCTGTCCTCCACTTCTCGATACGTGGGTCCCGAGGTGGTTGAAACTCCACCGCCAGGGCCCGAGGACAGCGTACTCATTGAGAACTCCCTGACAATACGTCTGGCAAAGTCGAGGATCTTAGCTTCGCCATCTTCGAAGACTCTTCCCCGCAATGTTTTCACAAGGTTGATGCGCGCCAACTCAACGCCATCATTTCCAGTGATGGCATCGCGAAACCCAAGGACCGAAAGAGTCGCGCGCACGAGCGCACCGTGATCTTCCCTGCCGACTCTTGTACCTCCCCCGAGTCCCGCTTCTGCAAGGATGATTTCAAACTGTCTTGCAAGGTTGATGATTCTTTGTACACCCCTCCCTAATCGCAGAACCTCCCAGCTCCGTTGCGCGGTGATCTTCGCAACCACTGCTTTCTGATGCCGCACCAGGACTTCTTTCTCTAGCAGTTCGTAGCTAGCAAGTAGGCGTGCTCGTTCCTCTTCTATCCTGTTGAGTATCCTTTGAGCAGCGGAATTTTGAGTAGCAGTGTATGTTAGGATGTCGAGCGCCGAGCGGGAGGTAAGGGTATGAATGTGCGAATCGATCTCTTGAAGGTCGAAAAGAACACGAGATAAAGGTGCAGTGAGATCAATGGTCGGGTCGGACGGGTTGTTGGCAGCGAGAACGAGGTTGTTGGCATGCGTGTAAGGCGAGAAGTCGTCGGAGGTGAGGGAGTCAATGTTGATGTAAGTCGACGTGGCATTGCCTGGATCCGCTCGGGTGGTCGTTGCGGCCATATTCATGCCGTACCCCGGTCAATGTCTCTCGTACGATTTCGAGGTCGAGGGAAGATTTTTGGTCCGTGGATACCGCGCACCATATAGAACTTCTCCTTGAGGAAAGAATCTCTAAGCCAGAGCCTCGCTGTCATCAATGTGTCAAAGTGGACAGGTTTCACTTTTCGAGACGGAGTTCTTCTTTTCCGTGACTTTTGGGCTGGAAATATGGACCGGAGCTGACTGGATTTCATGCACGGATTTGAAAATCAAAGTTATGACCAGTGAGGCCGTTCTCCGTATCCAGATATCTAGGGTTCATCGTTGCTGGTCGCATAAGGATGGAATAGTTAGCGAGTTGGCTAATTTTAAGATCGGCTCAAAGTCTCTGGCAAGGCTGAGGCTAACTACATTGGTGCTGGCCCGGCATCTTCTCGTTTATCGCTATTTTTATTCTATGGGGCATCTTTGGCGTATCCATAGACTTTTGTCACTTTGGCCAAAAGTACGACCACCATCATTTTTTCTTTGTCCGAAGCACGCAACTACAAGTATGTACGAGTACTCGGTAGATG